TGGACAAAAATATATATGTGTGAACAGAACAGATGCTGCATTAGGGTGTAACTAGTCATGCGGACGTAAATTCATCAAATTCCAATCTCTTGAAAGATGAAGTGATCACGTTATTATTTGAAAATGAATGAAAAATTGGCATTCCAGCCATGCTAAAATACATATTATTGCTTCAAGCTGAAATTACTCTGTAGGACGATCTTTTATTATGGAATTTATGTATGGGTCACGAGCTTGATGGGGCTTCTTTAATGTGCTATTTTTTATATAGTTAATCATTTATATTAACTGTGATACTATTTAAATTTTGGGGGTAAGATTTTATAAAGGATGCATTAAATTGATGAAAATTGACAGTAAAAAGATTTGTAATGTTACAAAAGACTTCTACTGTATATAAAATGCTGGGTTAAATACAACACGGCACTGGGTAAAATATGGACAAACTCAGCGAGTGGGTTCTTTTCACCCAGCGGTTTGGTTAAATGTTTAACCCATCCTTCTGGATACTAACCCAAATGATGGGACAAAACATCCCAATTGCTGGGTTTGTCCATATTTTACCCAACGCTGGGTTGTATTTAACCCAGCATTTTTTTAGAGTGTACAAATACTGTTCTTTTATTAATTTTTGATAATTTGTACTGAAATAATAAACAGCAAAAATGGTTTTCAACATTGATAATTATAAGAACCATTATTAATAATTGAGAACCAGTAATAATTGAGCATCGATCAGCATATTATTTTTCTACTAAAAACAGTAATGGCTGCTGAAAATTCAGCTTTGCCATCACAGGAATAAATAACAATATTATTTTAAATTGTAATATTTAACAATATTACTGTTTTCACTGTATTTTAAACAAATAAATGCGACATTGGTGAACCTTCAAAAACATAAAATCTCTTCAACCCCACATTTCAAATTTTAGTTTAGGTTACATCAATATGTTAAACTAATTGCACTGATTCATGTTCCATTCACATTTAAGCAGTACACTCTCCACTGCTGCAGTTTCTGATCCAATCAAAGGGGGAAGAATAGAACTACAATAATCTAACTTCGGAGTTTGTGAGCATTGCCTCGGGCAGAGACATCGTAGAACCCTTCCAGTCGTCCAATCAGAGCACATCTTGGCTGTACTACAAAGGGAAGAGCTGTCAATTTTTGGTGGAGCTGCAAAAGCTCAGGGTTATGTTAGGCAAGGAGGAGAATCTGGCGTTGAGGCAGGCGAGGGTTGTGCTCTGATTCAATAACACTGGTAAGAACTCAGTATGAATGCATAGGTAGCCTCCAGCTTCTGTTTCTCCTGAGCTTTCCAGGATTCCTGACGCTCCATTTTTCTCTCTCTTCCTCTCCACTCTCTCCCACACCATTCTCATAGCTCCTCGACTGTGATGTATTTGAATCTGATCTATCGTTTCGACTAATGCTGAGAAAAACTGATGTGGAATAGAGAAGGGAAAAGATCTAATGTCATCTTTTTCCCCCTTTAATGTGCTATACATCACATCAAGGAAAGGTTGCATTGATAAACATCTGGTTCTTTTGTTAGGGGTTCAAGTATTTTATAGAAGCAGTCTTGCTGCACTGAATCCAAGCTACAGGGATGCAGGTTTTTCATCGAGAGCCCAGCAGCATGAGCAGATCTCATTGTTTCAGAATTGCCTTGCACAGAGACAGAGAATGGAGCGGGTCCGCGGTACAGTTCTCCCGCTGTCACATTCAGCCTGTGATAATTAATCAGAGAGAAGAGAATGAATCAAAAGAACGGAAAAGGGGAATGACTCATTTGCAGTGTTTTTTTGTAATTCTCAGCTCTTGTTCAGTCTGGCTGAGATCGCTCTGTTAAAGGGTATCCGTTGAAATTGTGATTCAGTAATACTGTTCTAGTTTCAGACATCCAGGTTCAAGGTTGACAGAATAATTTTCAGCAGAAGAAATACAATAGACCATTTTTGATACAATTAAGAGTGCATGATCTGAAATTACATTTAAAACCTCTTACAAAAATATTACTATTATGTGGTGATGGTACTGAATGGTTACCATATTTATATACCAACCTGGCTTCTCAAGAATACCTTGGTACTACCAAGGCAAATGTCCATAAACATATATATGTGTGTGTGTGTGTGTGTGTGTGTGTGTGTGTGTGTGT